GTACTTGCAGGCCTTATGCATGAGCGTATAGAGATCCCCTTTTAAACTCTAATCAGCATTGATAGTACCCACGACAGTCTAGATTCTCAAACATCTTCATTTCAGCTTCGCTTCAGTATTAAGTTACAAGCACAAAGCTGCTCATATTGTTCCTGTGGAGAAGGTTACCCCGTACGCTTCCCGCAGTCGTCCTCTGTGACAGCCCCCTCCCCGCCATGCCTGCGCCTGACGCTGTGCCCCTGAATGTCGCTATTGTTCGGGAACGCCTGTGTTAGCACATTCTGTGACTTGGGGCCTTTTCTCACGGCCACAGCCAGGCAATCAGATTGCTCCATTGCCATGCTCTTTTTTCCTGCAGCAACAATGACTCACATGATTTTGTTTTGAAATGTTCGTGGGGTAGATCTTCTTGCTAAAGTCTGCAAAACATGTCATTTCTTTAGTTTGAGTCAAAAGAAATGAATTCCAGATTTTTTTTTCCTGTCAATGCCCTAGGGTGATCAAAGGAGGCACAATCAGCAGTAGTTTTGCACATGTCGAAATGCCAGCATGTCTGACAATTTAATGTTAGCTGGCAAAATGGAAATGTCCTGCACCGTTGTGTCAAAGATGGAAACCTGAACTCCCCCTTCTTCCTCCCCGGCCTATTTGGTGGTAGCTAGGTTAAAGGAAAATGCATCCTTACAACCCAGCAGTCCCTGGAGCGAAGCAGAAGCGCTTGATGCTGTGGGGCGCTGGGTGCAGCGCAGGAGGAGGCGCCTGGAGCCGGGGTGGGGGCTGCAGCTGAGCACTCGTACTGTGCAGTGCGGAGCGGGTGTCCTCGCGCTGACTGCACCCCCGTGCTTGCAGGTAACGGCCTCCCTAGTCACCCAGCTTTTCAAACAGTCCAGGGGTCTTCAGGTGCTTTCTTTAGAAGCTGACCTCTGGCAGAAAGCCTGCAAGAGCTGATGATGGCTAGGCAGCTGGAAGATGAAGATTGTCATTTAGGATACTGATATATTTTCATGTATATCTTATCCCTGACGCTATTACGTGGTCTTATCCACCTGAATAAAACTGCTGCTCTTACTTAGTTATATCAACCTGGAGCTGTCTTAGAGAGAAACCTTTATTTTTCTCAGAGTGCAGGTGCGTACTGTGTCCAGCGCGGTGGAGTTGTGCTCCAAGCGCCAGCCTGTGTAGTAACAGCATAACTGCCTGCACTCCATCTCCCATCCAAAGGGCAGCAGTCTGCTTCAATTATTACTTTCATTTTCTCCTCTTTACCCCATGTCTTTCAGAGTGCTTCAACAGCCTCTACTTAAAGGAGTAGTATCTCTTTCAGCGTGGCAAAGTCTATCTTTGTTGATCTAAAGTCAAATTATGGCAGGTTAGCCAGCTACTGTGCATAGGCCGAGCTATAGGAGCTGTGTGTGTGCTGCAGTCTGTGGCAGGTGAGTGGTAACTTCAATTAGATTATCTTTCTTCCATTAAGGGATTTAGTTAAGTCTCATTAACTCACTTTTGACGTGAGCCTAGACCATTTTCACAAGGCATCACCACAATTTAGCTGAGTCATGGTCAGTTCTTAAATTCCTGTACCCTTGGTTGTTAGTCTGAGCTTTGGGTCTCGGCAGCCAAGTACATGACCGAGGAAAGTCTGTGTGTGCTATCGTGAGAAAAGAATTTGGAAGAAAAAAATACCCCAGAGGAAGAAAAATCAGCTTTGAGTGGGAAAGAAGTATTGTCATCTTTTGTCCGTCACACAATAAAAGTTATTTTTGTCAGGAGAAGTTTTGATGATAACATAGACTTTCCATATTTGAAAAGATTTATCAAGTCATGTAATTGCTGATGTGCAGGAAAAATGTCTCTAATTTCCTGTCATTCTCAATAGACTTAGAGAGAAAATGTTAAAAAATCTGTGATTAAAAATGCATAAATAAGACTATCTAATGTTGTATTAGTACCTTCATGGGGAGAATGTCAAATACTGAAGGCATTTTAGCCTCGTAAATAAAAGGCGTAGCAAGAACCAAAACCGGGGCAAATCCCATATAAGAGTAAGCGCACATTTAACTTTTAACAGGATGATGATAACCATGGAGAAGAGGCAGAAGTGGAAGTGGTGGATTCTCTGTCTTTTGAAATCAATTTTAAACTCTTTTTTCTCTAGAAATTATTCACTGATTTTGCTTTAGCTGAGTGCAAATGACTGAGTTGAGCAGAGGAGTGCCGGGATGAATTCTGTGGCCTGTGCTACACGGTAGTCTGACCGTGCGATAGCCGTACCCCTCTGTATATACGAAAACTCCCTTATCCCGCAAAACTTACAAAGGAGTCACCTTTACACAGTCAGTTACGGTTAGCAGACTTATTCAACGTGTGCAGTTAAACGTGTGTGCAGGACAACGTGTACCTGGTAGACGAGACGGACACGCTGGGTTTAAACGGAAGGCGGCCTCTTCCCTTGAGCAGCGCAGCAGCCATGAGGTACCCGAG